TCTATGTCTCCTGCATTGGCAGGTGGGATCTGTAGCACTAGTGTTACCTGGGAAGCCCATACAAACCTATATTCATGTGTAATCCTTCATAAAGGAAAATCTTAAGCAAAACCAATATGCACAGCACAAAGCATTTGTGTGTCTGTCTGAGTGGGTATCTAGGGTGTACAAGATCTGAAGGTACAAGAATCTGAAACTCACATGCCCCAGGGGCTAGACAGGTCATTAACAAGAGAAAGGGCACTCAGCTCAGGGTAAGGTGAACAGCAATGGGGCTGATGAATGTTCCTTCTCAGCAGTGGAGGGTGAGGATGGGGTTGAGAAAGGGGTGGGAAGGGGAGGACTTCAGAGCTCACACCCCAAAAGCATTCATAAACTCACACCCTGGGTCAGAGAACATTTAATAGCTTCGAGATCTTGGCTTGGAAACAGATTCATTATAAATTAGTGTAGTTATACTCTAACTCAGACTGTTCCTAACTTCATACGCCAGACACAGACTCCCAAACAGATCAAAGATCTCACACTTGGGAGACACACTCTAAATAGATCAGAGATTTCACACCCTACAATAAAGGTCCTCCCCAAACTTCAGGATGGGTAGTTTTTCTATGTTATTACAAAGGAATCCTTAATTGTGGACTGAATGTTTGTGTCTCCCTCCCCAAATCCATGTGTTGAGGCCCCCAATGTGATATATTAGGGGCTTTAGGAAGGTAATCACGGTTAGATGAGGTCATGTCGTGTCCGACTCTTCGCGACCCCGTCGACTGTAGCCTACCAGGCTCCTCCCTCCATGGGATTCTCCAGGCAAGAATATTGGAGTGGGTTGCCATTTCCTTCTCCAGGGGATCTTCCCGACCCAGGGATCGAACCCAGGTCTCCCTCATTGCGGGCAGATGCTTTAACCTCTGAGCCACCAGGGAAGCCCCAAGATGGCATTAATACCCATATAAGAAGACACCAGAGGGACTTCCCTGGCAGTCCAGCAGTTAAGATTCTGCACTTCCATTGCAGGGGCTACGGGTTCTGTACCTGGTCAGGGAACTTTTTAAAAAAAGAAGAAGATACCAGAAAGTTTGTTCTTTCTCTCTGCCATGTGAGGACCTGGCAAGAAGGTGGCCATCTACAAACCAGGAAGACAGATATTATCAGAACCCAACCATACTGGCACTCTGATCTTGGACTTCCGTCCTCCAGAAAGGTAAGAAAATAAATCAGTCTTTCAGCTACCCTGTCTATAGTACTATATTATGGTGGCCTGAGCTGGCTAAGACACCTTAGGCTTTCACTTTCGAGGCCCTGTGTTTTAGGTCGGAGTCCTTGTACTTGCACCGTCTACCTCTGTTAACACCAGCAGTCCCTAGTCAGTGGCCCTTCCATTCCTGCCCTTTGATCTGCAGGCATTGAACCAGAGGGCTATCTGGAGGCTGAGGGCAAAGACACTTAGCCTACCACACTGCGCCATCTGCACTCCAGGCTGCCGGCCAGGATGTGGAGTTGGACTTTGGAGAAGCAAGGTGAATGGGGTGGCCCCTGGGGGTCTTGCGGCACGGGTTCTGGCAAGCAAGGCTGAGAGTTCCCAGCTGGGCCTGGCAACCTGCTTCCCTTCTATGTGGCTTTCCCGGTGTGCTTTCATTCATTTTCCCACCCTCTTCCTTCTTTCCTCTTTCAAAGACAAGCAGGGGGCAGCAGAGCGACATAGAAAGCCCCTGCTCTAACACACAGCAGACTGTCAGCAGGTCTGCAGGAGTGGGCAGCCGCTCAGCTCAGCTCCCTAGGGGCGGCTTCAGGAGCTGGTTCAGCTAGGGCCATTGGGGTGGGGCGGGACAGGGAGCGGCCAGGAAAGAGCGCTGCTCTTGAGGTTTGCTAAAAGAATTCCAAGGGCCACTGGCACCCTGAAGGAGACCTTGAAGAGGACTTTGCAGGAAGAGAGAAGCCATCCCTGTGGAGGAGGCTGGAGGGAGGCTATAGTATTTTGGACATTCTAGTTTATATATATTTACATATGTAATACACATATAGACATATATTTGGTTGTGAGAAATAAAGTGGATTATGCTTTATGCAGTGCTTAGAACAGAGCTTGACACACAGTAAGCTTAAGTGTCTTGCTTGTAGAAAGGGAATGGTGCCTGCTATTCCAAGTAAACAATGAATGTTACCTAGCCTCAAGCCAGCAGCCACTGCAGCTGCCTTCCAATAATGCGCCCTGGGGGCATTTAGGAGAAATACCCTAGGCAGTTAAGAATACTGGCCCTAGGTAGTTAAGATGCATACCTGAGAAAAGATTTCAATGAGCCCAGACTCTTGCATCCTCCCATACATGGAAAAGTGCTAAAATCATTAACTTGAGAAGGCTGCTTTTTGTGATGAGCAGTAATATTTTGATGTTTGACTACATGGGTTTTTTTTCAGCAAAAATTCCTGTATATCCAGAGTCCTCCCTTACCTATTTGGAGCAGCTCCTCAGCTCTCTGAGCAGCTGTCTCCTGGGCTACTGTCCTCAGTCCTCAGTCAAGTCCTGAAATATAACATAACTCAACAACTTTTAGGTTGTGCATTTTTTCTTCAGTCATCTTTTTAAAAACCAGCCTCCCTAACCTCATCTCAAAACCCTGCATGATCTGGCCTGGCCTTCCCCTCTTCCTGTCTCACTCACTCTCCAATTCCAAGCCACATGGGCCTTCTTCCAGTTCCTCCAGACAGCCAGCTTTGCTTATCCTTGAATTTGCAAGGATGGAGCTCCACATCTGCAAAGCAGAATTGGGGGGGTGAATGTGAGCTAATAGGGCATCAAATAATGGAAGGAGTTAGTTGATTTCCAAATACTTATCAGATTTGGGGGATGTGACTAAAGCAGTTTAAAGCAGTGCTCAAGGAAAAATCTATAGCTTTAAATGTGTATAGATGTGAAAACTTGAAAATCAAGTACCTCAGCTTCCATATCCTGGAAAAGGAACAGCAAATTGAGCTCTGAGAAAGTGGAAGGAAGGAAATTATAAAGAGAGCAGAAACTGGAGAAATGGAAAACATACAACAGAGAAAATTAATGTCAAAAATTGGTTCTTTGAACAGATTAATAAACTATTAGTAAATTCTGTTTTCTCAGTAAGAGAAAAAACATAAAATACCAATATCAGGATTGAAAAGGGAGTGCTATTATCAATCCTACAGACATCAAAAGGTTAATAAGATTTTTAATACATAGAACATTAGTTTCAATGAAGCTCAAATGTCAATCATTTCCCCAGTTCTACGGCTTCTGTTTGCATATGGATACTCTTTATCCATGAAAACAACAGAACTCAAGAACTTTCCTAATGCCTCCTTCACTCGTGAAAATAGAAAAGCACAGTTTTTTTTTTTTAAAGCTGGGGCTCAAGTGAAAGCAATTGTTTAAAATGTAATTGGTTTTTTAAAAAAAATGTAATGGGGGAGGTGGGAGGGGGGACCGGGATGGGGAATACATGTAAATCCATGGCTAATTCATTTCAATGTATGACAAAAACCACTGCAATGATGTAAAGTAATTAGCCTCCAACTAATAAAAATAAATTGGAAAAAAAATACAAAAAATGTGCAAAAGGCCCCGAGGCTAAAGGTTCAAGGATGGCCCTTATGAGGAACAGGCCAAAGGACAATGTGGCTTGGAATCCAAGAGCAATGAATGAGGGGACCTCCCTGATGGTCCAGGGCTTGAGGATCTGCCTTGCAATGCAGGGACACGGGTTCAATTCTTGATGGGGGAACTAAGATCCCACATGCCAGCAGGGCAACTACACCCAGGCGCCTCAACTATAGAGCCCATGTACTCTGGAGCCCATGAGCCACAATGAAGGATCCCAAGTGCCACAACTAAAAACTGATGCAGTGAAAATAAATAAATAAGTAGGTTGCAAAGACTGAGGGTCACAGTACAGAGAGTCTCGATTTTAACAAGATGACCACAACATCATCATCCTCAACTCTTATAGCACTTGCTATCAGGCATTGTTGTAAGATGTTTTTTTTTGGCCACACTGCCCAGCTTGTGGGATATTAGTTCCCCAAACAGGAACCAAACCCAGGCCCCGGCAGTAAGAGCACCAAGTCCTAACCACTGGACCACCAGGAAATTCCTCCCAACTTTTTTTTTTAAAGCTGTTCACAATAGTACTATAAAACACATTAAAAAATCATACCCATTTTCCAGAAGTGGAAACCAAACTCTCTCGGCCCAGAGAGTAAGTAAATATCAGTCTGGCTCCACAATATTTTTCTTAACCACTATACTCTGCAATTTATGGTGCATAGGCATCTTATAATCCTGTAGCAGATGTAATGTAAACATACAAATTACTAAAGAACTCAAATCAAGAGAAAGATCTGGTGGGAGGTGTGCTGAAGGCAGGAAATGAGTGGTAGGGAGGTGTGCCGTCCCCCTACGTGTCAGTGTTGATCTGTAGGCACACATGCCAGAAATATCACTGCATCTGAGATGCTCCCTTCTTGTCCTGTCGTCTGTGATTAACTGTGGAGTGATAAAGGAAGGGACTGGGTTTTAAATTGGCCAATAAAGGTTTTGTACTCATGGAAGTGGGCCTCCTCTGTGTCTTATCATTTCTTATAAAAGATGAATTCAAGCTCTGGGAAAACAAAGAAGAGTTTGGTTTTTTGTCTCATCTCTCCTATCTTCACCTCTATCCCTCTGGAAGGAGGAAAAGAATAAGAAAACAGTGGAGGGTGGTCATAGCAGACACATGGACTCTTGTGAATCCACACATGAGCAATAAGTACTGAAGATTTCTCCCAGGACTTTCCCCTTGGAATGGGGGTAGAAGGAAGTATAGTCACTAGGGAGGTGAGGGGAAGTGGGGAGAAGGAAACACAGGAAACATGGGTGTGACCAGTGGCAGTGTGGTCTCTTTTGACTCTTTTTTTTTTCTTTTTTTAGTCATGGAGGGACAACAATCGGACCCCTTTCCCTGTGTCTTATCCATAGGCTTGACCACATTGTGATGACAGTAAAGAGACTCAAAGACACCACTACGTTTTATTCCAAGATCCTGGACATGGAGGTCATGACTTTTGAGGTAACAACTTCCCCAAATGCCAAACTGCAGCTGGGGTAAAATTTGATCATACTACTTTATTTTTTTTCATTTATTTTTATTAGTTGGAGGCTAATTACTTCACAACATTGCAGTGGGTTTTGTCATACATTGACATGAATCAGCCATGGAGTTACATGTATTCCCCATCCTGATCCCCACTCCCACCTCCCTGATTATACTACTTAAAAAAGTAGCCTAAAACTGCAAAACACACACACACAATTTAAAAATTTAGAAAGGACAAGTGGAGGAGATTCCAAACTCTGAATAGTGGGACTTCACTATTCAGTGAAGAAAAAGGAAGGGAAGAAATAACCACAGAATAATGTGAGAGAACTTTCCAGTCCTTATATGGAAAGAGTTAACTGAGTATCTAGCATGTTTACACCTAGATATGTTCCTAAGAAATTATAGAACATCAAAATAAATACAAAGCCCCTAGAAGTTTTAAAAAGTAGTTCAACTACAAATGAAAAGGAAATATGCAGACTTCAGATTTCCCAAGAGTCAGAGACCAGAAGACAACAGAAGAACAACTTCAAGATTCTGAGGGAAAACATTTCAACCTAGATCTCTATGACCAGACAAATTATTAATCAAGGTGGGTGTAGAATAAAACATTCTTAGACATATTAATAAAAAGACTCAGAAGCTTGGCCTACTTGCTTTCAAAATTACTTGAGAATATGTTATCAAAATGAGTGATTAATCCAGGAATAAGACATCAAAGTCAGGAAACAGTGGATCCTAAGAGGAAGATCCAGAAAGATACCTAGAACACAATCAGTCCAGTTTGGGTCAGGAGAAGGAACATCCCCAAGAAAAACAGATTCAAGGTAAAAAGGTTTCCAGAGATTGAATACAATCCTTGAGAATTTGGAACAACTCCCAAAGTGGGAGATGCAGAGACACTGATTGCTTTCAATGGAAAGGGCCCATGAATGGCAAACAGGGTAAAAAAAATGTAAAATTAACATGGAATGTGTGCTCTGTGCTGTGTGCTTGGTCTCTCAGTTGTGTCCAACTCTACAACCCTATGGACTGTAGCCCGCCAGGCCCCTCTGCCCACAGAATTCTCCAGGCAAGAATATTGGAGTAGGGTGCCATTTTCTACTCCAGGAGATCTTCCCAACTCAGGGACTGGGCCCGAGTCTCTTGGATCTCCTGCATTGCCAGACGGATTCTTTACTACTAGCACCACCTGGGAAGCTCCAACATCGAATGTCATAAATAAAAATAGAATTATGCAGTATCAGACTGGATGTATACACAGCAAGGTGGACAGATCTTAAAAAGATCATGCTGAATGAAAATGGCGAAGCCAAATCATGTCTATAGCACAGTACCATTTATAACATACACACATAAAACAATAATACTCCTTTTACAATAACTTATGAAAACCAAAGAATGAACATCAAACACATTACAATCATTGCCTATGTTGGGGACAGGAATGAAGACTGGAGATAAAGAGATTAAGTATACAAATAAAACAAGAGAAGGGCCCTGCATGCATCAACAATAATAGGCATATGAAGCCTCAGTCCTTGGTAACTGGACACACTGGAGTAAAATTTCAGTACATCTAGGATCAAGAAAAGTCTTAAAAGCTTCAAGAGTGGAGGGTGGATGCATCATATATAAAAGAAATGAAAAACAGATTAACATCAGACGTCTTATCAGCAATACCAGATTCAGGAAGACAATGAAGCCACATATAATAGGCTATGGGAAAATAACCTACAACCTCAAGTTCTATACTCAGCTGAACTATCATTCAAGTTAAATAAAGTCATTTTCTGATAGAATGAATGTAGTATCCACCATGGTGATATGAAGGGACTATAAAAGTGATTTTTTTTTTAATGGCAGAAGTCTCATCCTCCTGCTCAATCAAAACACACGCATACAGATTCTTTTCTGTGTGGTGTCTATGGATTGAGGGAAATAGCTTTATAAAAAATTAAAATATTTTGCCATTAAATACATAAATAAATAAAAATGGCAGAAGTTGACAGGCACAGGAGAAAGAGGCAAGATGAAGAGGATAATTGGGTCAATGAGATACTATGTTCATCCATCAAAACATTAAGGTGCAAGTGGGTTATTTTTAAATTGTAAAGGAATCAAAAGAGGAGCTAAAACCGAAGACAGAATTCTATTGGGATGGGTGTATTGTGGATGAGCTAAATTCTCATTTATCATAGCAGGAAAAGGATAGAAAATGTCTGAAGTTGCCAAATCAAGAAATAGTGGCACGTCAGTTAGGGACTGTGTTTGGAAGCACGTGGGAGAAAACTTAACTGGGTTAAGCTAAGTGGGTTAAATAAAATAGAGTTTTCTCTTTCTCTCATTCAACAATCAGTCTAGAGGTAGGCAGGCAGGGTGTGGGCAGTGGCTGAAAGGAGGAAATGAGTAGGCAAAAAGTGTCAGCTCAGTGGGGTGGGAAGGTTTTCAGAAGTATGGCTCACAGCCTCTGCTAACATTTCACTGTGGAATGGCTGCCCAGTAAGGAATGCTGGGAAATGCAGGTTTTTAAAGCTGGGTGTGCAATAGATCTCACTGAAACTTGGGTTGTGTTTAAAAGAAAAAGGGGAGAAATGTATATTAAGCAGGCAGATTATAGTCTCTGCCATGGATAGTATCAACATATTATTTGGAGGTATGGAAATAATTTCCAGAAGAAACACATACATACATTGAAAGCATTTGCCTCTAAGGAACAAGATAAGAGTGGGGCACCAAGTGGCTATTTTTCATCAAAGCCTTGTTCTATTTCTTTTTTAACCTTGTTGGGGTAGATAGGGGGCTTTGCCTCACACTCACCTTGGAGGTTTAGTTCCAGGTTGTTTTCTCCCCCGAAACAGGGAGACCACAAAGCATTGTGTTTTGGAGACCAGAAATTTAACCTCCACGAGGTGGGAAAGGAATTTGAACCCAAAGCCACTCACCTGGTCCCTGGCTCCCTGGATATATGTCTGATCACAAAGATGCATTTGGAGGAAATGGTCCAGTGCCTCAAGGTGAGTCAGACTTCCATCTTCTTTTGAGAAAGCTGCTACAGATGCAATGAAAACAGAAGCATGACTCAAACTTCAGACATAACAGGTTTCATCACATCCAGATAAGGTTTGCACACCATTGTTTACTCATTATCATGGACATAATTTTCCCCATAAACAAATGTATTTTAAAAGAAAACTTTACATCACCCTTGTGGAAAACAGTATACCTAAACTCTATTTATATAAATACATTTGTGTAAAAAGAAAATATTCAACCAGGTAAGTGGAAACCCATCATATCTTGGCATAAAGGGGAGGCAATTATAAAAAACAAACAGCTGTAAAAGCATTGCAGTGTCATTAGATTCTAGCCACTTCTGCTTCCCCCAATCTCTGGGCTTGACAAAATTAGGTTGGTTAGAGAGGTATCAAGGACTTTGCACCCACCAGACACTTTCTTCTTGATATAATCAGGAGGATTGAAAGAGGACTGAATAGGGAATAATTTCTGACTCACTGTAATTTTTTTTTTACTCACTATAATTTAATTTAGCATCCCTGTAATACTTAAGATGATTTCATGTGAAGGGGACATTGGTTCTCCTTTTGGGGAACACAGATTGAGGTATTAAATCTATTTTGTGCAAATTGACCTGGACTCTTTTGGAAAATATCAGTGAAGAAGCCTGGCTTGGAAGTAAAGTGGGTAAAGCATAGGGGTTAAGGGTATGGACTTTGGCCCAGACTTGCCTGGGTTTGAATTCTGACTCTGCCACTTACTAGGCACATTATCATCCCCATTTGATGGATGAGGAAACTGAGGTGCTGAGCAGTTAGGTACTCTGCTTGAGGTCATACAGCTGTTAAGTAGCTGGAACAGAGTGAGGGAGAAGAGAATGGTAGGAAATGAAATGTGAAAGATACAGGGGTCTTCTAGGCCACGGTAAAGAATGAAATTTTGGTCTCAAACATGGACTGTGAATGAATGATTTTTGTTCTCTCCTCCCACTTCAGGCTTGTGATGTCATTGAGGAGGGTCCAGTCCCCAGAACAGGGGCAAAAGGGCCCATTATGTCCATCTACTTCCGAGAACCTGACGGAAACCTGATTGAGGTGTCCCAACTATATCTCCTCATGATGGAGGTTAGTGCTCTGCCATTCTACCCCCTGCCACGTCACCCCCTCCCTTCCTTCCTGCAAACACTCACCCAGGCCCAGAAACCTCTAACGACTGAGGACTCGGGCACTTTATGCATTTTGCTGGGCGATCTGAGGTGGGTTTGGGACCAACATGTCTGAGAGTCCCCTATCCAAGCTGCCCCAATAAATAACTTTCAATTAACATGAGCTCTTTATTATTACTGTCTCAGCATTATATATGGCTGTTTTTCTAGAATATAAGGTCTCTGAGCTATTTGGGGGTCAGTGACCAGGGGGTATGACATCTCTGAGGACCAAATTCAGGGTCATCACCTTGGGATTCAAGACCCCTGATAAATTTCCCCTTGTCAGTAAGCTTATCCTTTTCATCCTTTTTGATTCAGCTCACTCCTGTCAAGTGCTGCCTCCTGTTTATTCCACCCAACTGGTTTGACTGAACTCCAAGATCTCTGTGATTCCCATGGGGCTTTCAAGGGCCAGCCCAGATAATACTACCTCCTCCTGGAGCACCTTAGCTGGTTTCAGCCCTGTGGAATATGGCACTTTCTATGTTTGGATCTGGTAGGTTCAGACTCATCTCAACTGAGGCTCTGCTCCTGACAAGAGGAGACAGATGGGACAAGAACAAATTTTCTCTGTTTCTGTCCTCTTCCCCCACCATTTACTGATTCAGTCAATCAATAAACATACATTGAGCACCTACTGTGTGCTTGGGCCTGTTCCAGGCACTGGAAAGACAGTGTTGAACAGAAGAGATAAACTTATCTATTTTTGTGGAGCTGCCATTCTAGTGGGAGAGACAGAAAAGAAATAAAATTAAGTAAGGAAAATATCAAGTGTGTTAAGAGGATGATAGGTTCTTTGGAAAAGTGGCAACAGATTAAAAAAAACTGAAGCATTTTCCAATATGTAATAGGATGGTCAGGGAAACCTCACTGAGAAAGAAGACTAAATTTAGCCCAGACCTGAAAAGATGAGGGAGGGAGCTGTGCCAATAGCTACAGGAAGAACATAGCAGGCAGAAGGGATAGCCAGTGCAAAGGCCCTGATACATGCAGGGGTCTGGAGTCTATGAGGAGCATTGAAGAGGCTAGTACAGAGGAGCAGAGTGGGGGGAGTGGCAGGAGGTGAGGTGGGAGAGGTTGGGGGGACAGATGGTGCAGGTCCTCATGGGCCATGGAGAGGACTCTGGCTTTTGCTCTGAGTCACAGGGGAGCCACAGGAGAGTCATGAGCAGAGGAGAGCCGTGATCTGACTTAGGATTTAACAAGCTCCCTTTGGATGCTTTGAGGAAAACAGATTGCAAGGTTGAGGGTGGAAGCTGGGGGACCCTGAGGAGGAGGTTACTGCAGTGGTTCAGATGAGTAACACTGGTGCTGGTGGGAGAGGTGGTAAAAAGTGGTTAGATTCTGGAGATACTCTGAAGACAGAGACTGGATAAGTTCACCAAGAGAGAAAATGTCAACTAGAGAAGAGATCCAAGGACACTTAGAGTTCTGAAACAAGAGGAGGAACCAGTGAATGAGGCAGGCAAAGAGGAAAGGGGAGAGTACAGGTACCTAGGCAAATAAGAGATGGATGAAGGAGTACATATGAGACTCTCTTTAAGGTGAGGGAGCCCCTAGTCTTGTGGACTCTGGTCTCCAGATGGTAGTTTAGCCATGCCCTATGACTAAACTCCCAGGGAGCCCCCAAAATGCTGGGGACAGAGGATGATTAAGGACGTGAGCTTTAGCACATGAAGGGCTTTGCCAAAAGCTGTAGCAGGTTTCCTGCCTATTTTTTACAAAAATAACTTGCCTTTGACCCAGATGCTATGTGCCAAGAGATAGATGATTTATGGAAGGAAGGAAGGAACAAAGGAAGGATGGAAGGAAAGGAATAATGGAAAGGAAGAAAGAAGGAAGGAAGGGCAGTAAATGGATAGATGAATAAAGGGGTAGGTGGACAGGTGGATGGATAGATGGGTGCGGAAGTGGAAGGATGGATAGACTGATATCCCCTGCCCCAGGAAAAAACTCTTCCACATGTGTGTGCAGAGAGACGTATGAGTTTGTAAGTTGCAGGTTTGCTGTAATAAAGAAAAGACTGTAAACAACCCAAATGTCCATCAGCAGATGAATGGTTAACCAAAATATGGTATATCCATTCCATGGAATACTACTTGGCAATAAAAGGGAATGAACTTACGAAGTCATCATTACTTGATACCAAAACAAGACAAAGACGAGGTAAGAAAAAACAACTATAGACCAATATCACTTATGAATATAGATGCAAAAATCTTCAACAAAATACTAGTAAATAGAATGTAGTAATGTATAAAAGGATTATACACCATAACCAAGTAGGATTTATCCCTGGAATGTAAGATTAGTTCAACATGTGAAAATCAATTAATGTAATATACCATATTAATAGAATAAAAGACAAAATCCACAGGATCTTAATAGATACAGTAAAAGCATTTGACAAAATTCAACCCCCTTTCATGATAAAACACTCAACAATGGCTGATTCACAATGATGAACAGCAGAAACCAACACAACATTTAAAGCAATTATCCTCCAATTAAAAATAAATTAAAACAAAAACACAAAACACTCAAAAAACTAGGAATAGAAGAGACCTTCCTCAACCTGATAAATGGCATCTACAAAAAATCTACAGCTAACATCATATTTAATGGTGAAAGACTGAATACTTTTTCCTGAAGATGAGGAACAAAACAAGGATAACCCCTCTCAGCACTTCAATATTGTACTGGAGGTTCTAGTCTGGGTAAGTTGGCAAGGAAAAGAAATAAAAGACATCCATATTGGAAAGAAAGAAGTATACAATCTCTATTTGCAGATAACATGATCTTGTACACAGAAAATCTTAAGGAACCCACAATAAAGCCATTACAACAAAGCTCTGCAAGGTTGTAAGTCACAAGATCATAGAAAACTTGATTGTATTTCTATACACTAGCAAAGAAAAACCCACAAATGAAATTAATAAAACAATTTTATTTACAATAGCATCAGAAAAAGAAAATACTTAGTAATAAACTTAACAAAAGATGGGCAAGATTTATACATTGAAAACTATAAAACACTGTTGAAAGAAATTAAGAATACCTAAATAAAAACACATCACATGTTTATGAATTACAGACTTCATAGCATTAAGATAGCAATACTCCCCAAATTGATCTACAAATTTAGTGCAATTACTATCAGAATCCCAGCTTACTTCTTTGCAGAAACTGACAAACTGACCCTAAAATTCAAGTGGAAATTTCGGGGATCCAGAATAGCTACAAAACTATTGAAAAAGAAACAGAGTTGGAAGACTTGCATGTCCCAATTTAAAAACTTACATCATATGGCAATCAAGACTGTGTGGTATTGGCATAAAGATAAATATAATATACAGATCAATGGAATAGAATTGAGAGTCCAGAAATAAATTTATGCACCATGGGCAATTGATTTTGACAAGTGTGCCAAGACATTTCAATGGGGGAAGGAATAGTCTTTTCAACAAATGGTGCTGGGACAGCTGGAAAGAATTAAACTGGACCTCTACTTCACATTAAAGTAACTCAAAATGGATCAAAGACTTAAATATTAAGCACTAAAACTATAAAACTTTTAGAAGAAAACCTAGGCATAAATCTTCACAACCTTGGATTAGGCAACGGTTTCCTAGATATGACACCTAAAGCATAGCAAACAAAGAGAAAAATAAATAAACTGGACTTCTTCAAAGCTAAAAACTTTTGGGAATTCCCTGGCTGCCCAGTGGTTAGGACTCCATGTTCTTACTGACAAGGTCCTGGGTTCAACCTCTGGTCAGAGAACTAAGATTCCACAAGCTGCATGATGCATCCAAGGAAAAAAGAGCTAAAAGCTTTTGTGCTTCAAAGGACACTCTCCAGAAAGTGAAAAGATAACCCACAAATAAGAGAAAAATATGTGCAATCACATATCTGATAAGGGTCTAGCATCCAGAACAAAGAATTCTTAATACTCAAAAATAAAAAGACAACCCAAATAAAATGGGCAAAGGATCTGAATAGACATTTCTATAAAGAATATATACAAATGGCCAACCGGAAATTCCCTGGTGGTCCAGTGGTTAGAACTCAGTGCTTTCACTGCTGGCACCTGGGTTCAATCCCTGGTCAGGGAACTAAGATACTGCAGGATTCATGGTATGGTTAAAAAAAAAAAAGCCAACAAACACATGAAAAGATGCTCAATATCATTAGCCATCAGGGAAATACAAGTCAAAAGCATAATGAGATACCATATCACATTTACTAGGATCAAAAATGAGCACAGTAACAAGTGCTGGAGAGGATGTATAACCTTCATATAGCTACTCTGGAGAATACCTTTGAGGTTCCTCAAAAAGCTGAAATGAGAATTACCACAGGACCTTGCAATTCCATTCCTAGATACACACCCAAGAGAACTGAAAATATATATCCACATAAAAATTTTCACATGTTCATAGTAGCATTATTCACGCAGCCAAAACTGTTCACTAATTGGATGAATGAATAGCGGAATGAAGTTTTCATGTGATAGAAAGTTATTCAGCCCTAAAAAGGAATGAAGTACTGATCCACGCTACAACATGCTGCCGCTGCTGCTAAATCGCTTCAGTCGTGTCTGACTCTGTGCAACCCCATAGACGGCAGCCCACCAGGCTCCATCATCCCTGGGATTCTCCAGGCAAGAACACTGGAGTAAGTTGCCATTTCCGTCTCCAATGCATGAAAGTGAAAAGTGAAAGTGAAGTCACTCAGTCGTGTCCGACTCTTCGAGACCCCATGGACTGCAGCCTGCCAGGCTCCTCTGACCATGGGATTTTCCAGGCAAGAGTACTGGAGTGGGTTGCCATTGCCTTCTCTGCTACAATATTAATGAACCTTGAAAACTTTATGTGAAGTAAAAGAAGCCAGTCACAAAAGCCCACATGTT